ATATATATATATATATATATATATATATATATATATATATATATATATATATATATATATATTATAGCGAGAAAGAGAACATTTTATAGCATGCACTACCATGTTACATTTTGAGAGTATTTACATAAATGATTTAAAATCTTGCTGGCATGAATTTATTAGTTTCTAATTGAGAACAAGGAGGTTGAATGGACTGGTCCAGAGGAACAGATTTCGTATGTGTGTTTCTGGGTGTGCTTGTTCTAATTTTAGTTTCTATTTCTTATTTTCAGTGTCCGCAGGGAGTTTGAATGTTCTCAGGAAATATAACAGAATACACTACTGTCACCTGATCGGAATACCCTGAAAAACATACATGTTGTGTGTGTGTGTGTGTGTGTGCATTACATACAGCTCTTTGCCCTGTCACACACTCTCTGTTCTTTTCTGTTTCCTTTTTCTTCTTCTCTCTTCCTCTCTCTGTTGCCTTCCCCTACCTTTAGAGAAGAGCGTTTCAGGGAGGGGACACATCAGATAATCTTACACCTCCCAGGGGCATATGGTAAAATGTGTGTGTGTGTGTGTGTGTGTGTGTGTGTTGGTGCGCGGAGGGGTGGGGGGGGGCACAGGTAACAATGTATTTTACATGAAAGGAAGAGTATAAAGTTACAGTGCTGATAACCATAATACTGAAAGCACAAAAAAGAACAAGAAAAGGGGGATTGTTTTCTGTGTGTTGGTGTGTGTGTGTGTGAAGCCTCTGTACCTGTAAGCAGGCCTGGATTCTGCATATAGAACTAAGCAGAAACGCCCTTGCATGATTGTTTTTAAACCTTTTGGCTACATTTATGACACTGAAAACAATTTGGTGTGGAAACAATTTTCACTCAGAAATTGCTTAATTTCACAAGTAATTATAAACAGTTATCTATCTATCTATCTATCTATCTATCTATCTATCTATCTATCTATCTGAAAACAATTTGGTGTGGAAACAATTTTCACTCAGAAATTGCTTAATTTCACAAGTAATTATAAACAGTTATCTATCTATCTATCTATCTATCTATCTATCTATCTATCTATCTATCTATCTATCTATCTATCTATCTATCTATCTATCTATCTATCTATCTATCTATCTATCTATTGTGGTAGGGCCATTGAAAATGTTGTTAGTGTAGAGTAAAAATGAGCTGGTCAAGAGAAAAATCTTTTTATTGTTGAGACCAGTAAGACCAGCTTAAATCAGTCAAGACCAAAAAAAAACAGCTTAGGCATGCTTTTTTCAGCAGGGTAACCTTTGGTAGTTACTTTTCGAACCGCCTGCCAAATAATTACTAATTTCACTTCATAAATCTATAAACGGTGTACAGTTAAACAGTCTTAGATCATTGTTCACCAGCAGGCCTCATTAGGAGTTGGATCCTGCTGGGCTGCTCTCAAACGCGCTATTAACTGCTCTAAGAGCACAGATGCTGCTGGACAAGGAAGTAGTTACAGTCAGAGAGAGATTCACAGTAGGCTTCGATCACCTGCTGTCCCTGAATGTGTCAGGCTAATTTGAGGAGACCATAATGGGTGTGTTCGTACTCCGCACAAATCAGAACACAGAACCAGAGAGATGAGCCTAAATTGTAGGTACTTTTCTGAGAGGAGCCTTAATGTCCCAAGGTCATCTGTTGAATCTCATTTGTACGGCATATACGCTGTCAGTATGATTTTTTTGTTTTTTTTTAAAGAAAGTTTACTTTTATATAGCAAGAATGCATTAAATTGATTAAAAGTGACACTATTTCATCATGAAAAATATCATGAAAAAAGTATTATTGTTTCCATCAAAATATTAAGCTGTTTTCAACATTGATGATAATAAAGATTGTTTCTTGAGCAGCAAATCCTATATTAAAATGATTTCTGTACGATCATGTGACACTGTAGACTGGAGTCTTGGCTGCTGAATAATCAGCTTTACCATCACATGAATAAATTGCATTTTATATTCAATATATTCAAATAGAAAATTGTTATTTTAAAATAATGATATTTCACAGTATTACTGTTTTACTGTATTTTTGATCAAATAAATGCAGCCTTGGTGAGCATGAGATACTTCTTTCAAAAACATTAAAACATCTTATTGACCCCAAACTTATCAATGGCAGTGTATGTGTGTGTATGAACATGAGTTGCTGGTTGCACACTCCAAACATTCTCCCCAAAAGCACACGCTACATCTGACACACACATGTATATGTGCATGTGTGCTCACAGGTCTGCATGTGTGTTTTCAATTAAGACCCAGATGACTACGAGCAGTTTTGGGAGGGGTGAACCATGTAAATTGATTGCGAGAAGTTTATAGACTTGTAGCACTCTTTAATCCTTCCTTTTGTTTTACAGTACATTGTGTTTAAATATTCATATACATATTCAAATATAAAACAAGAAAAATATATGTGAATTTAAGTTTCTGTATGAATGTAAAATAGAAGAAATTATGCACTGTTTTGGCTGGAGACCTTGACAGTAAGAAAGAATGTAGATTTGAGTAGATTTGATTTGGAGAGAGTTGATCACAAGGACAAATTCAAAGAGGAAAGTTGCTGTCATGGTTTTATTAACTCAGTATTGAGTAATATTGAGCATGACAGAGAGGAAGAACCAAGATAAACTGGTAGAATGGGAAAGAATGTATTTTGTGTGTGTGTGTGTGTGTGTGTGTAAGAGAGAGAGAGAGATTTTTGTTATGTAAATGAAACTAATGTGCAGAATATGGTACATTCACATTAGTGTTTCGGATTAACAACAGTATATATTTGTAGTTGTGGCTTTCATCATCCTTTCAAATATGCATTTTAAAATGTAATTTATTCCTTTGTTGGTAAAGCTTTTCAGCAGCTATTACTCCAGTCACCAGAAATCATTTTAACATGCTGATTTAGTGCTCAAAAATATTTCTTATTATCAATGTTGAAAACAGTCATCAGTCACACTGCTTGATATTTTTGTGGAAACCGTATGTATATCACGTTAGTGTATGTTGTGATTTTTCCATTCTACAACTTGTTTTCTGTTATTAATATTCTCTTCATTCAGTGGACAGCATCTGCAATGGAGCAAATAATCATGCTCAAATGGCAACAGTAGCTTCAAAAATCATGGACAGTGAGGTCATCATATTGAGTCAAGTAGCTGAAAAATCACTCCAGACTGGGAGCGCAATGTTTTCTTCATGCACTGAATGAGAAACTAATATATCAACTGTCTCTTCTGGTCTTTCCACAGGTGAAGAAATCTACCACTGATTCCCATGCTCCAGACCCAGTAGACAACAGGTAAAGTGAACACACATTCACACACATATTCTCCACTGGAATCCATTTAGGGTATTATTTATGAGTTCCAATGACAGTGGACGGTGGGAGTGTGTAATTTTGTATACATAAAGACATAAAGAGGGATGTTAACGTCATTGTATGTGAGTGGGTGTAAAGCAGACAGCTTCACCTGGATAAAACCTGTGTTAGCACTATGTACTTTGAGATGCATTCAGAAATTTCACGCAGATGTTTATGCTATAAACCGAGAGCAACAAGGAGCAATTCTGTTTCTATTTGGCATTACATTATTATACGAGCTGTCTTTGTGCATTTGTCCTTTGGATTAGTGTAGTTCAGGGAAAGATAGATACATGGAATATTTGTACTTGAAAATAATAATCTGACACACTTCAGGAATTAAAAATGGTAAAAAAAGAAAACATGCACACTTAAACATATGTTGGTCATGTAATGTATACATTTATACATAACAATATTACATATAAACAAAATTGCATTAGCAAATAATAATATTTCTTACTACATGCAATAGTATTTAGTGAAGTTTTATTCAAAATAAATTATTTTATCCTCATAACATTGAGAATATTAGGCAGTTTTTTATTCATATTAGCGTTAAACAATGCAGGCTGTTTAACATAATAACATGAAGATACATTGTGATTTTGTTCCTCATATTTTCATGTGGATGACTTAGTGTGAAGAATGGAAGAAAAGAAAGCTAGATCCTTGGTAAACATGACCTAGATAAACTGCTTCCCAGCTTTTTGAGGTAAAAACTCTTAGAAGATGCACAAGTTGGGACAGATGTTTTCTTTAGCAGATATTTTTGACACATGAGCGGGGGTCATATTATCATTCTTACAGTGCCAAAGCCAGTTTTTGCTCACATTTTCTGGTTTGTGAGCGTTACGGCCATTTTGGGGTCAGAAAGATTTTTTATTTTTGAAATAAATTAATACTTTTATTTAGCAAGGATGCATTAAAGATTCAGCTTTTCCATTACAGAAATAAATTGCATTTTAAAATATATTAAAAGAGAAAACAGCTATTTTAAATTGTATTAATATTCCACTGTTTTTACTTTGTTTCTGATCAAATAAATGCAGCATTGATGAGCATAAGAGACTGTTTTCAAAAATATTAAGAATTCTCACCAACCCCCAACTTTTCAATGGTAGTGTAAATGTATTAAACCGCTATATTTGTCGTCACAGGGCCTTGGCGATGCAGGATCTAACAGACCCCCAGCACTCTGTTAACAGTGGCAGTGACAGCACGTCCAAACTGGACAAAAACATCCTCAGCAACAACATCACAACCAATGGAACCGGAGGTATGAAAGAATGACAAATCAAAGAGCAAGCAAGCAAGAAATTGCGAGTGTACATGAGTGAGCAAGCAACATATTAGGTGATAAATAGGGCCTTTCAACCAAAGCATTGCTTTGAGTACAGGAAATCAGCTTTAGTGCAGTACACTCCATGTTCTTCGCTGTGGAGTTTCTTGCTGTAATTGAAAGCAGGGTTCAGTCCTGGTGTGTGATGTTCGGATTGCAAGGATAAAGTGTTTCTTGTTCTGGTGGTTTTGGTGCCGTCCAGAGCGGGTTTGGTGGATTAGTGGCAATGCCGTGTGCCGAGATGCTCCGAGCTCACACTAACCTCAAAGGTCAAACACTGCATACAGGCCTAATTAAAACGGAAGAACGCGTGTATGTGTATAAGTGTCTTTGTGCTGAAACGTTTCCCAGCACTTCTCCGTGCATGTTTCAGCAAGAGCCTGGTGCACAGAAAACTATTTCCTGCGTTTAAACTCTCATTTTCTCTCTGATGTCAACACACGCTCGCTCGCTTTTCTCTCCTTGAGGAAAACGCTGAACAAACGTTTTAAGAGAGAACGCTAGGCAAACATACACATGGCTAAATAGACTCTCAACACCCTAGCAAGCGAGTGTTTGATGTATGGCTATGACTGTGTGGTACACAAGAGAGGTAAAGTTTAGGGACCTTGTGGAGAGTGTGTGTGTGTGTGTGTGTGTGTTGTGTGTGTGTGAGCTCATCTGTTTTTGACATATAGCCGGAATAAAACAATAGCAAAAGACTGAGAGAGTAAAAGGAGCAGAACTCAGTAAATCATTTAGATTAGAGCTCAGCTAATGATTTTAACAGCTTGACATACACACACATATTCACACACACACTGGGATTGTGCTTCTGCCAAAACAACGACATATTCAACATTCTCCTCTGTCTACCTCATCAGCTCACAGCCTAGACTGAATCCCTCTATGCACACACACACGCAAGCCGCCCACTCAACCACCAACCCACACACACACATATCCCAACATGAATCCCACTGCCAATGAAGCCTCATTCATCTTACTTTAGAGGACTGATCAAGTCACACTGATTCAAGATGTTTTTTCTTTTCTGAAAATGCACCTTTGTCAGAGCTGTCATAAACTCAGTGTGGCAAAATATGGTTTTGGAAACCTAATATGATTTATATGAAGTCATTTTTTTATTATGAGAACACCAGGAAACGATGGCTGTACTATTGGTAAATGTTTGTTTTAATGAAAGTGAATTTCATTATAATGAAATTCTATAGGAATTTATCAACTTCACTTTTCACTAATTATTGTATTCTTTACTATTTGTAAAATGTTATCAGTTACTATACAAAACTTTCTATAAAATATGGAATGGGGAATTTTTTGATTTTACAGTGGCCACAAAATGTATTATCTGGACACTTAAGTCACACTTAAATGTATTAATTTAATTGAATTAGATAACAAAATATCATCTATATCAAAGTGAGATTTGTAAACCACTTTGTTTTCTCAGAACTAATGTCTTTTTCTGAACCATTTCATCTGCAATTTGTTTTAACCAACTTCCCAAAGTCATTTTTAGTTAATATAAGAAAACACTGGATAGGTTTCCCAACAGAGTAACCAAAGGTGTAGTTCATCACATTAACTAACATTTTTTACAAGCGTTTGATAACAATAAGTATCCAAGCACTTTTTGTCTTCATTTTGTACACTTTAGCTATCATTGTTTTATCATTTAAATGCAATATATTTTTGCTTGAAAAGTGTGGAAAATATTTTAAATATTTATTTTTAAATGATTTTATAGTAATGTGATATATTAATATAAATTATAATTTATATATAAATATAAATTATATTATTTTAAATTGGAAATATTTATGTATTTTATTTATTTATTTTAATATAAAAAGTCTATATAATAAATACAATACAATAAATACAATCTAGTGACTTTTTGTGTTTTTGAGTGTGATGTAAGTGTCCATATAATTTTGGGTTTAACTGTATGTGCTAAATTCATAATATTAAAGAATGAATGGGTAATACAGTCCACTATACATCTGACTCCGCCCCCAGGAGAGAACATGACAATTCTAAACACGGCTGATTGGCTGCTGGGCTGCAGTACCCCGCCCACTGCCCCAAGTATGAAGAACGATGGTATACTGCATGTGTTTGTGGAGTGTACATATATGATGGCACGTGTGTGTGTGTGTGTTTGGGTGCAGTGCTTTGGAGGCTTTGCTTCACTACTTTCAGAGTTTTTTTCATTTTGAGAGGTTTGATAGGAATTTGACAGCTGACAGGGCGCCTTATATCTTTCTTGGTCTCTCTCTTTAAGTTAAGTCTGAGCCTCTGAACAGCAGTGAGTCTGTGAGCTCGGCGGGAGACACTGGGTTGGACACTTACACTGGGTCAGGTAAGACATCCACACACACACACACATGCGCTGCATTCAGAATGCCTGTTGTAATCCCGCTTGGGAACTTGCTGAAAGCTCTGAGCCCTCAATCTTTGTACTGCCCTTGAGCGAACGTCATCAGAGCCACAGACTCTTTATTTAGATCAATGTGCTCACACACAAACACACACACACACACACACTCAGAGACTGAGAAACCCTCTGTCCATGCACTCCCCTGCAGAGAAGGTTGAGGCCCTTGCTTGAGCTGACAGTGTGATGTCTCTATAGAGAAGACAACCGCATGTTCGTTTATATGCACTGCAAAAAAACGTGTATACTTGTCTTATTTTCCAGTAAAAAAGTATCATTAAGCAAGATTAACTAGGTAAGTCAGAGCTGTTTCCAGGAGGGAAAATTTTTTTTTTATAGTTATAAAACATATATGTTTTTCTTGTTTTAAACATAGGGGCTTTTATATATATATATATATATATATATATATATATATATATGCCCTATGCTTAAAACAAGAAAAAACATATTATTATTAAATAAATAATATATTATTTATTTATTTTCCTTATAAATGGTTGTTTTCAGAGACTATGTGTGTGTGTATATACATATATTTTACAAATGTTATTGAAAAATAAGAGAGAAATACTGATTAAGAAAATGGGGGATTATGACAAGCAAATGCCAAAAAAATTTTTGATTTTGCATCTCAAGGAGAAAAGAGGAAGAGAGGGAAGGCAGGAGGAGGAAACGAGGACATTCTTTGATGTAGAAGGAAGGATTTTTGAGAGAATAGATCCTGTTGTTTTTTTTTCTGCGATTTCTTAAATTGAATCCAGCTGGTGAGAAAGACTGTGAGCTGTCAATCAAAACAGTGAGCTGCGTGTGTGTGTGGATATAAATTGAAGGCTCTTGGCAAAATCTATTCAAATGGAAGAAGTCCAGCACACATTTTATTTTATGGTTGTGATATGTAATAAATTACACGTTCAGTCCAACGACAACTGACATGCAGTACTGACTGCTGATACATCCCAGTAAAGTGTGTATGTGTGTGTGTGTATGTGTGTGCATGTTTATGTGGTTTGAGGACACAAAGTTGTATAATAACATGGGTATGACATAGGTATTACAACGAGAAAGTGTCCCCGTAATTCAAAAGGCTTATAAATAATTCAGAATTAGTTTTTTTTGAAAATCAAAAAATTTCCTGTAAGGGGTAGGGTTGGTGTAGGGCAATAGAAAATACGGTTTGTACAGTATAAAAACCATTATGCCTATGGAGAGTCCCCATAAACCATAAAAACAAACCTGTGTGTGTGTGCGCCATTGTCCATGAAAATTCAGTCTGTCTAGCTAATTTCTGGATTTTTCTTCTTTTGTTATTTGTGTAGTTATAAGCAGCAGTGGATTCAGCCCTCGGCCGGCTCACCAGTATTCACCTCCTCTCTACCCCTCAAAGTAAGACATAGACACATTTTGATTTATATATGTACATGCAAAAACATCTAACCATGAACGAGACAAATTAACAGTGGCACTTAATGTCAAAAAGGCTGCGACCCTTGATCTGATCAAATGAAAGCTGAATGTTTTGATTTTGTTTTTGATTGGTAGGCCTTACCCCCATATCCTGTCTACTCCCGTGGCTCCTCCCATGTCGGCCTACACAGGCCAATCACAGTTCACTAGCATGCAGCAGTCGACAGTTTACACACCCTACTCTCAAACTACTCCACCCTACGGCCTCTCCACCTATGGTAGGTTCTTTACTTTTGTTCACATGCTTATGGATGACATATTTACGTGTTGTTTATTCAGTGTGATGATGATAATATAGTCTAGTATTTACAATAGAATATGCAAATCATGTGAAAGAGCCTTTAGTATTATTCCAATTTGATTGACATGTCCACTTTCTTGATCTTGAGCTACAGATTTGGGGGTGATGTTGCCAGGCATAAAGACAGAAGGAGGGCTGGCACAAACCCAATCAACCCTCCAATCAGGGCTCAGCTATAGCCCTGGATTTACCACCCCTCAGCCTGGACAGACAGCCTACTCACCCTATCAGATGTCAGGTGAGTATGTTCATGCAACCAAGTATAAGAGTCTGGAACTATATTAATAATACTGCATGGCTTCAAATGCTGATTCAGTTTTATAAAATGGTAAATAAAGAAAAATTAGGACACAGTAGAAGATGCAGTTGTTATGCAACAAAAATAACAATCACTTGTAATATCTGCTAATTACTTGTAAAAAGTAGTTTAAGGAGCAGTTTACCTAAACATATAGTCAATATTTACATATATATTTATTATTTATTTAAGGCACATAAATTAAAATTTTTTGGGGAATCGTTATGCAGCTGTTGCCATAAAATGACCGTTCATAGTGACTAGGATCTGAAAAAACACCATAAAAGCAATAAAAGTAGTTCATACGACTTAAGCACTATATTCAAAGTCTTTTGAAAAGATCTGTTTGCATCTAGTTCAGATTTGATGCCATTTGATTGACTCTAACAAATGTGACTAAATGTGAAATTATTTTGAATTCTGGATGAGATTATCAGTGTTATCGCTGACTAAAACTATTTAAACATTTTGTTTAATTGAAATAAAGCTGAAAAAAATATTAGAGAAACTTAAACTTAACAAAAATTAGAAATGCTGCCTTGAAAACTAAGTAAACTAAATAAGTTTAAATTGCAGCACTATAATTACTAACTGGAATTAGATAAAAACTAAAACTGAAAAAATTATGCCCAAATATTACAGTTTAAAAAGAACAAAAACTAATAAAAATGACAAAAAAAACTAAAATGGAGTATAAATAATACTAAAATAGACTTGGAATATATTGCACAATAAGGCTGGCCAACTTTTATGATGCATTTTCTGCATTGTCCTGTCCTATTTGATGCTTGACAGCCTTTGGTCCCTATAAACTGTGGTTGTATGGATTGAATTCTTAAAAAAAAAAAAAAATGTCTGTGTGCCTTTGTGTACTGCAGAAAAAATAACAGCATACAGGTTTTGAACATTATGATAGTAATTAAGGATAGTATTTTCGCTTTTGTGTTTTTACTATTTGGCTATTTTACTTTTTCGTGAGATCTGTTAGTGGTTGACTAACACTGGCTTTTCTCTCCATCAGCAGGGTCAGGTTTCACAACCTCTCCTGGTCTCTACACATCCAACAACTCCAATCCAGGCAACTTCACCACACAACAGGTACAGTCACACGTGCACAGATGAACACACATATGCACCAATAACGTCAGAGTTCAGCAAAGGACTGACAGTCTTTTTAAAACAGCCCAGGCCTCAGAGAACAGATCACCATCCTTCATCTGAGAGAATTTATGCTTTTAGGACTTAATGTTTCCCTAAACTTTTATGATTAAAAGTGCTGCCAAAGAAAAGGACCCAACTACACTTAGACTCCCACTGATGAATTTAGCTGTGTAAACAAAGTGAGGTTCTGGCGATGGTTGAAATGAAGGAGTAAGCGGAATTAGGATGAAATGAGAGAGTGAAAGCAGTTGAGTTTCGCTGAGAGCATTTTACTGCAGCGCTCATGTTCTTGAGTCAATGACAGTTTTAGAGTCATCTCCCGTAAGAGATCCGTCTGTGTCTGCGCATGTAAAACTCTCTCAAAGATACAAGAGAAGTCAGGGAGTGATAAAAAGCTCTGTGTGGATGGGCCAGAAATCTGTACTGTTCCAGTCCTATTTATCTTTTTTTCTCTTTATTATTCCCCTGATAAACTCCCTCTCTCTTTTTTATTCAAGAAGAACATAAAACCTATATTCTTTCCACATTTCACTGAATTATAGAGGGAAGCAGGGCTAGTTGTCACACTCCAGTGTTTATTTCTTAGGGTAGATTTACTGTACATTGCTACAAAAAAAGATGTTGATTATTTCCACCATTACTGATCAAGAAAATGAGTTCATTGAACATACATAAACGTTTTTTGACAACATGCCCAAATAGCGGGCTTCAAACTCATCACACCAGTATGGGGTTGTCACAATGAAACTTGCCATTAAACAGCCTATTAAAGGCTTTTCAGCAACATTTAAACATTATAAAACAACAGGCAAAAATGTAAAAGATGACATCAAACCAATGTTTTATTCAACAAAAAAATGATTGCATCATATACATTTTTAACACATAACAACTTGCATCGACCTCACTTAAAAATGCCCTGTCTGCTTTAAGGACAGCTTTCGGTTTGGGTTGGACTCAGATTTGTACTCAATGAATAAATAAAGTATTATTTATCATTTTAATTTTGTTTGTTCCTAGCAAGAATATCCCACCTATACAACTTTTGGGCAGAATCAGTATGCTCAGTATTACTCCACCTCCTCCTACGGTTCCTACATGACATCTAACAGCTCATTGGATGGCACAAGTTCAGTCTCCACCTATCAGCTGCAAGACTCCACCCCCGTCATGACAGTACAATCGGGTGACCTGAATCCAGGTAAGCACTATCAGCAGCCACCCAGACCATCCTAGCAACAGCATAGCAATGATCTAAAAACTCCCCAAAACATCTAATTTTGAATCTGGCAAAAACCTCTAGCATCATGGAAGCAACTTTTGCACAGGCAGTTTTCTTCAGAAAGTGTAAAAATCAAGTTTTACCTCAAACATCTCTACTGTTGTCTGTTATCTGTCAAAAATTGGATCATTGCCATTATAGTTTAAAGTTAATCATTCCAATAAAGCAACAAATGATGCAGTTGAAAGTTAGAATGGATGTTAGAATGTTCTTTTACACGGCCTTTGGCACAAAAGTATCATGTGCTGTAATTGTTGATTATGTTAGTAGAGTGATGGTGATTGGGGGTTTTGTCCAGCAGGCCCAAAATTTAGTGGGGTTCTAAAGCTGCATTTCTCAGTGATTTATCTTGGCTGCAGTACAACAGAGCTCATTACAGTAAATTTGCTCACACGCATAGACACACAAAGATTATGTTCTATCAGATGTGCCACTTTCCCACTTTCAATACTTTTTTAAAAACATGTTGTTGTTGTTGTTTTTTAAATAAAAAACAGACATGAGAATGTACAAACATAAATGTTGCCATTTTAGATCCACATATATATTTCCTGATTAAAAAGAAAAACTGTGACAGCACAGCATTATATATTTTTTATTTGATTTACAGGACTTATAAAGTATCAGGTTGAATTGTTGTAGCTCAGCTGAAAGGTTTATGATTATGGCAGAAACATGCATATTCAAGCCAATGAGCAAGCTTTTAAAAGCTTTGATGTGTGTCATAAATGTTTCTTGTTTCCCATATACAGGTGAGTTTGAGGCAGGGCAGAGCCCATCCACGCCGATCAAGGAGATGGAGGACCGGGCGTGCCGAGGGGGTGGGGCTAAAGCAAGAGGGCGGGGCAGAAAGAACAACCCCTCCCCACCACCTGACAGTGACCTTGAGGTATGTACAGATAGATGCAAACCTCATAAATGCACACACAGTTGAAGCAGATGCTCACATCATCTAATGTAATCATACTCTTCACTACCTAATCCCTCTGTCATCACTGTTTGTTTACTGAGATCAAACATGTGTTTGCATGTTTTTACAGAGAGTGTTTGTTTGGGATCTGGATGAGACCATTATTGTGTTTCACTCACTCCTCACAGGCTCCTATGCACAGAAGTACGGCAAGGTGAGAGTAAACACACGTACTATGCACACATATTAAACACTTCCTTCAACTGTAGTAACAGTGAGCATCTTCCTGTGATTCCTGATTATTCTTAGTAAGTCGACGTGTAAGGTCATGTAAATGACCTTTAAATGGTTTTATTCTATAATTTGTTTTTTATAATGAGCTGACTTCTGCAAATTAGCAACATTTAGAAGTGCATGTAAGTGCACAGGGTTTTTTTTTCTCAAAAATGCTAACACACACCCGGTACAAAAGGTGTACAAAATTCCAAGTAAATTTCACAAATAATTACAAAGAAATTACAAGTTACACATTGAATCAATCATGACATTTTAAAGTAGCATTTTTCCTGTAAAACAGACTCCAAGATTCTTTGTTTTGCTGACAACTCTGAAAAACCATTTTTTTGTGTATATCTCCAGAATGCGATAGTAAATTTTGAATCTTGACCCAATATTATGACTCCCACAACTGTGCGCTTCTATCATAGGCAGAGCGCAGAAGAGCAGAGTTGTTAGATTCAGCACTGTGACGGCCAGACTCAAGGAGTGTGAAGCGTCAGTCTTCTTCTGACACCTTCCCTCATTTCTTGTCGTTCAGTTGGTGAGAGACATAGAGACAGCTGCGGCTATTCACGGCTCTGGGGCTATTTCTGCAGGCTCTGTGACGATGAAAACCCTCCGTTCTTAAGCACTCTCGTCAGAGACATTGCACATGCTGTCAAGCTCAAGCGCCAGCACACACCGATCTATAGATTAATCACTGCAACGATTGTGAAATTACCAAACATCAGAGTTCAAAAGTGGGGAAAAGCAGCTCTACGCCAGTATGTCTTGAATTGTTTATTTTGATTGAAAAAAATTTGCCTCAATTATTTTTTAACATATGCTTAGATTAAGTTTAAACATTTTCAAACAGTTGAATCATCATTTTCAATCTCTGTCAGTTTCGCCATTAACTTTGTGTGTGTGTGTGTGTGCTTTTCTATTCTCGTTCACTGTCTCAGCCAATCACCTCTGAGCCAACAAACTCCATCACATATGATGATTTTTACAGCTGGGTGCCCTCCCCCTCTCTCGTTCTTTCACTCCGTGTGTGTGTGTGTGTGTGTGTAGTTTGAAGGGTGAGAGCATCTGATGATCTGAGACAAGTGTAGTATCTGTCATCATTTGATGGAAACATGGAACATTTTATTTACTGAGCAAAATGTGCATGTGAAATATTCATATCAAGCCAAAACTGCAGAATTAATCACAATACAACCTGCCCTCTTAATAATCACTGATTTTATTGACATTCCTAAAACATTCTGGTCTAAAATACAAATACGGAGTGTCCCGACAACAGCAAAATGTCTCCACTGCAAACTCGCCTAAAATTTGAACTATGTTTGTTAGGTTCTTTATTGGTGATGATAGTTGTCAAGTAAAAATATCCTAATAATTAACATTTGAATTCTCAGGACGCCCCTTTGGCTGTGACTCTTGGTTTAAGAATGGAGGAGATGATCTTCAATCTTGCTGATACACATCTATTTTTTAATGATTTAGAGGTAAGCAAACTGCTCTCCTCTTGTCTTCCTTTGTCTTAATTGTTTTTTTTTCCCAGGCAGAGTGTGTTTATGTGACTGTGTGGCCCCCTGCTGGTTATCAGTAGTAACCCACTATGTTTCGACAGGAGTGTGACCAGGTGCACATTGATGACGCCTCTTCAGATGATAACGGACAGGACCTCAGGTGAGTTTATCATCTGAATGATTTGATTGATTTAGCAGTATTTAAACTTTGATTTAAACTATTCTTTTGAAGACACCCATTACTCATGCAGCTGTAACAAAAATAAAGTCTTAAATATGACTGAATATGTATTTTACTTGTATGTAAAACAGGATTGTTATTGTTATTATCAACAGTACTTACAGTTTTGCCACTGATGGCTTCCATGCAGCTGCGACAAGCGCAAGTCTCTGCCTAGCAACAGGTGTTAGGGGCGGAGTCGACTGGATGAGGAAGTTAGCTTTCCGATACAGAAGAGTCAAAGAGTTGTACTGCACTTACAAAAACAATGTGGGAGGTAAGATCTGATCACAAGTTGAAATAGTTTTACAGGATTAACTCTAGATATCTAAATATTATTTATACACACTATTATAGTATTTATTTGATTTAGAATGAGCTTTTATTTTTATTTTCCGTATTTTGCTTTCATTTTTAGTACTTTTGTTGTGCTTTGGTTATTTTTATTTGTTTTTGTTTTTTAATATTTTTATTTAGCTTTAATTTATTATTTCAGTTTTAGTAGTTTTTTATAATGAGCTGACTTCTGCAAATTAGCAACATTTAGAAGTGCATGTAAGTGCACAGGGTTTTTTTTTCTCAAAAATGCTAACACACACCCGGTACAAAAGGTGTACAAAATTCCAAGTAAATTTCACAAATAATTACAAAGAAATTACAAGTTACACATTGAATCAATCATGACATTTTAAAGTAGCATTTTTCCTGTAAAACAGACTCCAAGATTCTTTGTTTTGCTGACAACTCTGAAAAACCATTTTTTTGTGTATATCTCCAGAATGCGATAGTAAATTTTGAATCTTGACCCAATATTATGACTCCCACAACTGTGCGCTTCTATCATAGGCAGAGCGCAGAAGAGCAGAGTTGTTAGATTCAGCACTGTGACGGCCAGACTCAAGGAGTGTGAAGCGTCAGTCTTCTTCTGACACCTTCCCTCATTTCTTGTCGTTCAGTTGGTGAGAGACATAGAGACAGCTGCGGCTATTCACGGCTCTGGGGCTATTTCTGCAGGCTCTGTGACGATGAAAACCCTCCGTTCTTAAGCACTCTCGTCAGAGACATTGCACATGCTGTCAAGCTCAAGCGCCAGCACACACCGATCTATAGATTAATCACTGCAACGATTGTGAAATTACCAAACATCAGAGTTCAAAAGTGGGGAAAAGCAGCTCTACGCCAGTATGTCTTGAATTGTTTATTTTGATTGAAAAAAATTTGCCTCAATTATTTTTTAACATATGCTTAGATTAAGTTTAAACATTTTCAAACAGTTGAATCATCATTTTCAATCTCTGTCAGTTTCGCCATTAACTTTGTGTGTGTGTGTGTGTGCTTTTCTATTCTCGTTCACTGTCTCAGCCAATCACCTCTGAGCCAACAAACTCCATCACATATGATGATTTTTACAGCTGGGTGCCCTCCCCCTCTCTCGTTCTTTCACTCCGTGTGTGTGTGTGTGTGTGTGTAGTTTGAAGGGTGAGAGCATCTGATGATCTGAGACAAGTGTAGTATCTGTCATCATTTGATGGAAACATGGAACATTTTATTTACTGAGCAAAATGTGCATGTGAAATATTCATATCAAGCCAAAACTGCAGAATTAATCACAATACAACCTGCACTCTTAATAATCACTGATTTTATTGACATTCCTAAAACATTCTGGTTAGGGTTTGTTCTCATTTTGATTAAGTTTTGGCACATTTAGAGTTTGGTTGCTGTACTAAAAACTATTATTTATTTTTTTTATTGTGTCTTTTGAAATCCAAATGCATTATGAGGGTTAAAATTAAAGTTCTTATGTTATTAGTTCTTCTTTCATTGCCCTACAGTGAATTTTCAGCTTTCATGTAACTGGCTGCAATGATGTCATCATCATTTTTGCGTACTGGATTTATATATATATAATATGCTTAGTTTGCATATTAAGGTTATGTTCTGTCTTAACTTGTTCTTTGCATATATTTAATCATTTACTGTTATAGCCGCCTTTACACAGACTATGGCTCCATTTGCCATCTAGATAAAACGTTGTACTGAGCTGAGCTTGTTGCAGTGCATTCTGGGATTGCCTTCTCTGCAATACATTCAAAGCTGTCTTAAAATTTGGCCAAACATAATGGATTTACCATAATTTTGGAACAGCCTTTGCATCAGGAGTGTCTATGATGCCTTAAAATGTTTTTTTTTTTAATATATATATATATATATAAAATAAAATAAACAAATACAAATACGGAGTGTCCCGACAACAGCAAAATGTCTCCACTGCAAACTCGCCTAAAATTTGAACTATGTTTGTTAGGTTCTTTATTGGTGATGATAGTTGTCAAGTAAAAATATCCTAATAATTAACATTTGAATTCTCAGGACGCCCCTTTGGCTGTGACTCTTGGTTTAAGAATGGAGGAGATGATCTTCAATCTTGCTGATACACATCTATTTTTTAATGATTTAGAGGTAAGCAAACTGCTCTCCTCTTGTCTTCCTTTGTCTTAATTGTTTTTTTTTCCCAGGCAGAGTGTGTTTATGTGACTGTGTGGCCCCCTGCTGGTTATCAGTAGTAACCCACTATGTTTCGACAGGAGTGTGACCAGGTGCACATTGATGACGCCTCTTCAGATGATAACGGACAGGACCTCAGGTGAGTTTATCATCTGAATGATTTGATTGATTTAGCAGTATTTAAACTTTGATTTCAACTATTCTTTTGAAGACACCCATTACTCATGCAGCTGTAACAAAAATAAAGTCTTAAATATGACTGAATATGTATTTTACTTGTATGTAAAACAGGATTGTTATTGTTATTATCAACAGTACTTACAGTTTTGCCACTGATGGCTTCCATGCAGCTGCGACAAGCGCAAGTCTCTGCCTAGCAACAGGTGTTAGGGGCGGAGTCGACTGGATGAGGAAGTTAGCTTTCCGATACAGAAGAGTCAAAGAGTTGTACTGCACTTACAAAAACAATGTGGGAGGTAAGATCTGATCACAAGTTGAAATAGTTTTACAGGATTAACTCTAGATATCTAAATATTATTTATACACACTATTATAGTATTTATTTGATTTAGAATGAGCTTTTATTTTTATTTTCCGTATTTTGCTTTCATTTTTAGTACTTTTGTTGTGCTTTGGTTATTTTTATTTGTTTTTGTTTTTTAATATTTTTATTTAGCTTTAATTTATTATTTCAGTTTTAGTAATTCAACTTCAACTTATTTTATTTTAGTTAGTTGCCAAGACACATTTCTAATTTTTATTTATTTTTTAATAGATTTCGTTTTAGTGTTAGATTTGATTTTAATGAACAATAACAACACTATTCCATAGGTATAATGAATTGCACAAATTAACTTAATTAAATGACTCTATAGCATGAGGGCTTATGTGTATTCTGCTATTGTGGGGTGCCACAATGCAGTGTGATCTGTTTTTCTTTTAAAGATTGTGCCCATTAGAAACCCCAGTTTCATGCCATAATATACGCTCTATTTATGATTGTGGCATTTTGTTTTTGCTCTGTTTCAGGGTTGCTGGGACCGGCTAAGAGGGAGGCGTGGCTCCAACTGAGGGCAGAAGTTGAGGCTCTCACAGACTCCTGGCTGACCAGTGCACTCAAGTCCCTGTCAATCATCAGCTCAAGGTCTGTCTCTTCATGCATCATCAACCTTTGTCATTGAGGACTATAGCTTACACAGCAAAAAAATCACAATCTCTGTCTCTCTCACACAGGAGTAACTGTGTTAATGTCTTGGTGACAACGACACAGTTAATACCTGCGCTGGCTAAGGTGCTGTTGTATAGCCTGGGCTCAGTGTTTCCTATTGAAAACATTTACAGCGCAACCAAAATAGGTGAGTTCAGATACAGGTCCATAAAGCAGACTTTGCCTTGAGTTCATCATGTAAATTGTGTTGAACTGTTTATTTCCATTTCATTTCATTTTGGCAATCAAGGGTAATTTAGAGTTCAGTCTATGTGGAACATGCTTTGGCTCACATTATTGCATTAAATCATAAATCAAAACACATCAGGATGACCTAGTCATAAAGTTCACATTCACTCTGTCTGATCATGTGGAATTGATTCTGATTGGCTGATCTCTTGTTTTAAATGTAAACTTGAACTGGCGATGTGAATTGGTTCGTCAAGTGATTCTATAACTATAGTTACTAAAACTAAATAATACTAAAACTAAAAATATATAACAAGGAATTTAAATAAAATAAAGAAAAGACAAGAAAATGGAAGAAATAAGTATAAATTGAATTTAATTGAATTTTGTAAAAAAAAAAAAATTCAATCCAAATAATATTAATAAATTTTTTCATATGTTACCACTACACAATTTAATTAAAAAAAAATTATTAAATTAAATTTAAACGCTAAATGTTATTTTTACAGTTTACTTTATTTTTAATATGTTTTAATTATTTTTCCATAAAATACAATCCAAATTGTATTTTTTTTTTTTTTCTTTGTATGTTACTACACTACACACATTTATTAAAAATAATAATAATACAAATATAGATGGATAGATAGATAGATAGATAGAAAGCCCTATTTAAATGGTAATTGTTTCTCATGGGGACATAAGGTATATTCAACATTTGCAGGGGCTAGTTAAGGATTTTATTGCCATCCAAATCCAAAATGTTCTCCACATCTCGGAGTTGTTTTGTATATTTAATTGAATTTTGTAAAAAAAAAAAATTCAATCCAAATAATATTAATAAATTTTTTCATATGTTACCACTACACAATTTAATTTAAAAAAAATTATTCAATTAAATTTAAACGCTAAATGTTATTTTTACAGTTTACTTTATTTTTAATATGTTTTAATTATTTTTCCATAAAATACAATCCAAATTGTATTTTTTTTTTTTTTCTTTGTATGTTACTACACTACACACATTTATTAAAAATAATAATAATACAAATATAGATGGATAGATAGATAGATAGAAAGCCCTATTTAAATGGTAATTGTTTCTCATGGGGACATAAGGTATATTCAACATTTGCAGGGGCTAGTTAAGGATTTTATTGCCATCCAAATCCAAAATGTTCTCCACATCTCGGAGTTGTTTTGTATATATTTTTTTAAACACTGCCAAGCACTGTACGGTATTGCTATAATGCTGAATAATACTAGTTTACTAGAATAATATTACGTCATTGATCTGCTACAGTGAGTGGATCAAGAAAAAGAGAATAAGAAGAAAAAGAAGAAAAAAAAACAATCACATAGGCGTTTGAAATGGGCCATTATTATGGCATTTGATACTTTTTTTTTACTATTTATTATATATACGTTTATATAAATTAGGGCTTGCACAACTAATAATTTTATTTTCAGAGATAAAATGCAAATCCATTTAAACCATGGCGTGTAAATTTTTCCTATTATTAAATTAAATATGAATTTATTAATTGTCCAAGTAATAATAAACAATTTGTTTGCAGCAGACAATCATGTGACAGCCATCTGAAAGCATGAGTTTTATCACTGAGGTGCCATGCAAATGTACTTTTACAGTTGCCCCCATTAGAAACAATTACCATCTAAATTGGGCTTATGTTTTAAATCCAATCAGTCTTGTGTGTCTTTTTCTTCCTGCTCTCAAATAATCATACTCAACCACGCACACAATAATCATGCAGCTTGTTCATCCCATGAGTAAAGCGAATGTGTTCTGAGCTTGTTAAGGTTTATGTCTATGCCTTGTTTTCGCAGGTAAAGAGAGCTGTTTTGAACGTATAGTATCCAGGTTTGGCACTAACATAACGTATGTTGTGATTGGCGATGGGCGCGATGAGGAGCATGCAGCCAGCCAGGTAAAATCTCACCTCTGACCCCAAGCCTCTGACCTGTCACCTTGTTTATGTTGCAGGCAAAGAGAGTTGCTTTGAGCGCGTAATGCAGAGGTTTGGCAGGAAGGTAGTGTATGTTGTAATTGGGGATGGTGTAGAAGAGGAGCAGGCCGCTGCCAAGGTAACGACCTGCAGGTGAACCAGAAGCAGTGTGTGACTTCTCAGATTGGACTTCCTGCCTGTGTGTGCTTTAGAGCTTTAGATGAAACTGATCGGCAGCTTGTGTGCTTCATTTATTTCCTCATCTGTAGTTTAAATGGGGATGTCTGTAGCGGTTGCTTTTTCCCTCTGATCATCTGAGACCAACTTTTCTTTCTCAGATCCCAAGCGATCTAGAACAGAGCTATTCAACTGAGGTTCTCTAAGGTCTCAGGCATCTAATCGCATCCCGTAGCTTCCTGTGGTCTGAGATTGGTCAAGTAAACCTCCTGTAGATGATCTGCTGAGATGCTGAACCTGAAGACCCAGTTGAATACTTTTGTTCTAGGAAACCACTATTGCAGCATTTCTAAACAAAGTTTGTGGAATGATGAGTCTTCGTGTACACTACTGTTCAAATGTTTGGGCTCAGTGAATTTTTATTCAGCAAGGATGCATTCAATTGATCAAAGGTGACAGTAAAGATTTAATATATACATTGTTGAAAAAGATATCCGTTTCAAATAAATGCAATTTTTAAACTGTCTATTTATCACAGAATCCTGATGTTGTAGTTTCCACAAAAAATAAATAAAGCAACACAAATGTTTTCGATATTATTAATAATAAGAAATGTTTCTTGAGCAGCAAATCAGCATATTATGATTTCTTAAGGATCATGTGACACTGAAGACTGGAGTAATGATGCTGAAAATGCAGCTTTGCAATTGCAGAAATAAATTACATTTTAAAATATATTTTTTATCATAATTACTGTATTTTTGATCAAATAAATCCAACCTTGGTGAGCATAAGAGACTTTATTCAAAAACATGAAAGACCCCAAACTTTTGAACAGACAAATAAAAACATTTTACGAAAATATTTTTTATTTCACAAAAGTTTAGTGTTAAGCTGAAGGATTTGTAAAGGGTTTATTTGAAATTTCTAAATAATTTTAGTTAATTTTCAAAAAAGTAAATAACGTTCATTATATAAAATTAGTAATTCATATTAATATATAAATGTATACATATTTAGATTTACTTGTAGCACTTTACAATAAACTTCAATTCGTTAACATTAATTAATGCAATAGATTCTACATTTCTACATATATTAAAACAACATTAAATTAATAAAAATAAATGAAATAGTGCTGTCAAACGTTTAATCGCATTCAAAATAATTTTTGCACGCATATATTATGTAAACAAAAACGTTTATTTTGGATGCGATTAATCGCTTGACAGCACTGAAATAAAATAAAAATAAAAATTTTTTATGTATTATGGACAATCATGAATTAACAATAACCTGTAGTGTAATTAAAATGAACATTTACCTAGATCATTAAATGCTGTAAAAAAAAAATGGTTAAAAAAATTCCAAAGATTTTCTTTTTCTTGTGAGGAAACATTTATTTGTACTTTGGTTGAAGTCATTACAGTTGATAAGAACAGCGAAATAAAAGTCCAGCACCAGAAGAAAAAAAAAAAATACTAAAGCTGTAGCTTCATCCTGACTTACCACTAGTTGCAAAGCCATAAGCAGGCGTAGTGCTGAGTATCTTATTCAGGGAATGCACCTCCAGTTTTTATCAAAAAAAGTTCAAAGTTGCATTCATTTTAGACTTCAACTTAATGACAAACATTTATGGAAAATGAGTATCGATATTACAGGTAAAGTGCATGTCATAAACAAGACTCCGGGCATGCTGTCACTTAATGTACACAAGTCTTTTTTGTGGACCAAATTAAAAAAAATAAAAATTTAGCTTTCACACTGTCATTTTTAACCCAGAACCTAAAGATACAAAAGACAAGGATGAGGACACACACTAATTGGCCAGACTTTAGGAGGTATATTTTGCGAACTTGCAGAACATCCAAAACAATGCCATGACTGGGCTAAATGCGCTTGTGTACTCACTGTATTTTTACCAGCTTATAACTTAAGAGCTTATAAAATGTGTAGAGTCAAAATGATGCCAGGAATTCCTCTGTTGCGCACACGGAGATCTGCTGTAAATAGACAAGACGCCTGGACTGAACTGTCAACATGGATCCATGAGGAGAAAAAACAGGTATGCTGGAGCCTTTTGTCATTTTCATGGTCTCTTAATATGGCACATCCTGTTTTTGGTTCATTTGGATGTCTTTGGACCAAGCTGCATTTATATCAGTCGAACCACACTAGTTAGTCTGCGCCTATTTGGTGCGCACCAAGGTTCAGATGGCAGCATTCATGTGTATTCAAATGAACCGCACCAGAATTGGTTTGATTTAAATCAAACTCGAATAGTGTAAAACACACCCTAACACTCCACAAAGTTCACCTTAAAATGCTGGACAAGTGTTCACTCGGTTTAAGAAAGACAAAACTACCATTTCGGAATTCAACTCCAAACTTGCATGAATTACTACGACTTCCATACCGTTTAAAAAAAAAAAACAAGTTACATAATTTCCAAAAGATCTTTTATTCGGCGCCTTATTTCTTAGATTTGAAGTACTCCTCAATGACGTCCTTAGCCTGGGACTCTTTGCCGTAGTCCTGCAGATGGAGACGTGAATACATTAGATGCATGTTAAATCTTTAACACTTACTCAGTTTTAAAACTGACCTGACTCAATTCTTACTATAATCACAAAAGGAAACAAAATAAATAATCCAGTTTGGTAAATTTAGCTTGTTGCCCTTCTAGGGACCTCAAGAATCAAAATCAAAAAATGCTGGACAAGTGTTCACTCGGTTTAAGAAAGACAAAACTACCATTTCGGAATTCAACTCCAAACTTGCATGAATTACTACGACTTCCATACCGTTTAAAAAAAAAAAACAAGTTACATAATTTCCAAAAGATCTTTTATTCGGCGCCTTATTTCTTAGATTTGAAGTACTCCTCAATGACGTCCTTAGCCTGGGACTCTTTGCCGTAGTCCTGCAGATGGAGACGTGAATACATTAGATGCATGTTAAATCTTTAACACTTACTCAGTTTTAAAACTGACCTGACTCAATTCTTACTATAATCACAAAAGGAAACAAAATAAATAATCCAGTTTGGTAAATTTAGCTTGTTGCCCTTCTAGGGACCTCAAGAATCAAAACAGGATCAAGAGGCTCGTGTTCACGCGCTCAATCTAGCCAAGACATCAAAACCAAACACAGGGCATGGAGAGCCAGCATCTGGCCTCGACCTGGCTCAAACAACCTAAATCTGAAGCCCAAATATTCTTTTAATAAACACTAATTGTAAAAATGGAGGCATTTCTTCTCCCACACATCAGGTTCTAGATTGAAGTAACGAAGTAAATTAAAAACAGACTCTGGGTGTGAACAGGACTACAGTCAGACACCCACCTTAATGACTACACAGCTGCAGCCCACCACCTTGCGGGGTTTGCCCTCTCTGTCGATCTTGCACAGACCAACCCACTCACCAAGCTTCTTATTGTCATCAACCTACAGGAGAGCACAGAGACGGAAATATTTTATGGCTCTACACCTTTAAGCAGTTCAAATCAGGCTTATGGGTCCCAAATAAAAAGTTCTTGGCAATATTCAAGAGAACACGCTTTGCATTTAGGGTTTTCATAAAATTTAATGGCTAATAAAAACGAACTTCATCAACATTTTCTGAAGCAAACATGGGTGTTACCGGCCACAAGAATAGTCTTTAGCTAATTGCAGTGGCTATTAAGATGTCCTGGGTGGTCCGAATCAAGAGCCCACCACCAGATCTCCAGATATGACTTGGTTACCACTATCAACACCTTTTTATCAACCAGGACAGGGTTTTTTAATCCTGGTCATGTAGAGCCAGAGCACTGCATATTTTGCATGTCCCTCTTATCTAAAACACCCAATCAGAATTATCAGAATAAGGTGCATTAAATAAAGAAAATATACAAAATATTCAGTGCCGTGGCTCTCCAGGAGCAGGATTGAAAACCACTGGGCTAGGAAAAAAACCCTGCAAGTCAAATTCCAGGTAACAGGTTACAGTTTAAATCCAATGGAAGATTATTTCTCCCACAGAATAAAAGGTAATTGCAAAGTCCCACAATTCTGACTTTCTTTGCTATTGCAAGTTTCTCACAATTCAGCCTTCCCTTCTCAAATGAGTGTTAACATCTTGCAATCAACTTCTTAGAACTACAAGTTTCTCACAATTTTAAATGTATATCTTGCAATACTGATTGAGAGTCTGAATTGCGAGAAATGAGATTGCAAAAAAAAAAGAAAAACAAGTCAAAATTAATTTGTATTTTTCTGTGGTGGAAATAACCTCAAAGAATTCAGAGTTTCTCATAATTCTGAGTGTCGCAATGGAGTTTGATAAAGTTCAAACTGTATTGAGGCACAGTTTTATTCTGTGGTTGAAATAAAGCTTCCATAAATCCTGATAATGATGCATGATGCTTCTCATAGCTTCCTCACCTTGATGAGGTTGATCTGATGCTCGGCACAGAGAGCCTCCACCAGCTTGACGTACATGGGCTCATCACAGTTTGCTGCCAGGACGCAAAGATGAGCCTGGCGCCTGTCAAACACAAAGAAAGATCATGAGCCTTCAATCTCCTCCAACAGGTATGACCGATCACTTCATCTCAGACAGAATATTGGGTAACGAATGGCAGTTATCCTCAAGAGACTTCAGTAGAGGGAGCCAATTTATCATCAGAGACACACAGCAACATCTTACAGTATTAAAGAAGTCACTTCTTACTTGTCCAGGGCCTTGGCGGCCTCACGGATACCACGGGCCAGACCGTCGTGGATGAGTGCGGTCTTCAGCACTTCAGGCAGAGCGGTGTTGACATCCATCACACCTCCGGCAGCGATGCTGGCAGTTGTACAAGAGGATGTTATTGGGATGTAAAGAGTCAGGTGTGCACACATGCTTTTAACAACCTGCGGCTTGTCAGACTGGATGTCTCACTCATGATTAGAGTGAAGGGGTATCCGACTAAAGATTCTAAGTTCATCACAGCCGAGGTAACCAGAAGAAATCACCATCTAATGTCAACGCCATGAAGTTAATTTCGAGGTTAGAGAAATATTCAAGAGTTTATTTTGTGGCACAGGAGTATAAATGTGTATATAGACGTTTATAAATGCAGAAGAACGTCCAATATGTTCTCTGTCTGGTACATTGAAGAGGAAACTATCAAGATATTGCGTGAATTACTTGAATTAAGCCAAACCTGGCACAAAAGTCATTCGGTTAGAACAAAGAGTCATTCGGTTTCGAAATATTAGAGTGAGTAAAAAGTTTTAACCGCTAAATAAAGTCATTCAGTACACGTTCTCTATTCAACAAATTAAGTTATGCAGCGTCTGCATACTGATGTGAGAACAGTCACTCACCCT